CCCCTCTAGCAGGGAGCCTGACACGGGGCTCGGCCCCAGGACCCGTGGATCATGACTCGAGCCAAAGGCAGACGCTTAACGACTGAATCCCCCAGACACCCCTCAATAGACCCGTCTTCTTAAATTGTGAACGTGCAGATACACTAGGACTAGACTGGGATCACGTTAACTGAACACCCCCTACATTTAAATCATGTATTTTGTTCAAATTTAACTATTTCTCCATTGGTGGGCATTTGAGTTGTCTTAAACTTCCCGTTATTATAAGTAACGCTACGACCAACGTTCCACGTACAACTCAACCAAATGTGCGTGTACGTCACTCAAACCCTAGACATGGAATTTGGGAGTGCATGTATTTGCATCTTAAATTTTGATAGATAATATCAAATTGCTCTCCAATAGGACTTTGTCAGCTGACTCTTTATCCCCATCCTGATGCCACTTTTTAAAATGCTTCCAATCGGATGGGCTCTTATTGTGGGATCTCATTACACATTTTCACGCTACCGACGTCCCATGCGTTTGAAGTACGATTTTCATTACCCCGAACCCCCCTCCCCACAATCTCCCGATACATGAGCTCACAAGCAGGGTTCCTAGATCTATTCCTGCTCCCCTTCTCTCCAGTAAATAAAATTATTAAAAAAACAAAAAACAAACAAAAAACAACTTCATCTGTTCCATTTGCTTGCTCAGTAGATTTAAACACCGCATTTCTTTTAGGCTTGTCCAGGAGATTGAGACACGTTCCGCGCATTCTGAGGGGCGAGCCTCCAGCCGCTACATGTGGCGAGGCCCTGCCGCCCCGTGGGCGTATCTGGTACTGCCGCCGCCTGTGGGTTTCATTCATTCTGCAAACGGCGAATCCCCACGGGTGATGCAGCGGCGGCTCAGAAAGGCCAAGCGCAGGCTGGGAGCACATACTGGAGATATGTGCGGGCCTTTCACGTTTAGATCGAGGATCCACTTTAGGTTCGTTTTTGTGCAGAGTGTGAGCCGGCCGGTCAGGGCTCGGTGTTTAGAACCTGCGGGCCCACCGACTTGCAGAGAAGCCTCGGTGCAAACACAGGCGCCACGTGCAGCTCTGCTCCCAGACGTGTTTCTGCCGCTGCCCAGTGGCTCTGTCCATCCCTGGGCCCAAACCACACAGGCTTCGCGACTGGGGCCTCCTGACAGTTTGGCTGGCAGACAGTGACCGTCCTCCTTGGCCACTCTAGCTTCTTTGAATTGTAATACGGTTTCAGAATCATCAATTAGTTTCTACAAAAAAAAGTCTGCTGCAATTTTACCTGGGATTGTGGGGTCTGTGAACCTCCACTGGGGGAGCACAGGGGTCTCCCGAAGCCCCTCTCCTCCGCGCACGAGCTATGGCCCCTCTCCCCTCGCCTCCCTCCGCAGGAGGCTGCGTCCTCAGGGTAGAGCCGTTTTCGTCCCCTCACTCCTATGTGTTTAATGTCCTACGCTGTCACAAACAGTCGTCTTTCGCACACGTAGACGTCTCCGGCTCCAAGCGCTTCTGCTAGCACAGACAGGGTAGGAGGGTCACCGAAGACACACGACAGCAAGGGAGTGGGCCAAGCGGCTGGACATCGCTCGCCACAAGGGAGAAGAAAAGTAAACCCACCGCGGGAGACCGCATTCGCCTACCGGAAGAGCCGAAACCCACTTCTAGAAAGTTGAGCGCCTACATCCGCACGAAGGCAGGCCCAGGAATGTCCACCTGTTTTACTCCTGACAGCCCCAGACCGGACCCAGCCCCACGGCAGACCAGCTGAACAAACGCACGCCCAAACGACACACCAGCACAACAAGAATGAGGGCCCCACGGGGACGCCTCCCGAAATACAAACCCTGGCACGAGAACCCAGACGAGCCGCGGCCAGGACACGCTGTGCGAACCGTGAGAGCACGGGCTGCGGGCGCAGGGACAGGCCAGGTGAAAGCGTGTGGGGAGCAGCGGGGGCGGGGGCGCGGAGCCACAAGCATGCCGTCCTGACCATGCGGATGCTCTCATGGGGACACACGAGCGACAAAACTTCAAATATGTGATTTTCATGGAGATTTTACCTCCACGAAGCTGTTCACCACAAACACACGCAAAGCCCCCTGCAGACGGGGCTGCTCTCCCGAGACGCGCACAGAAGCCCGCGGGAGGCTGGAGCCCGACTGGCCGCAGGCTGGGGCCGGTCCCGTTCTCCGGGACGGTGAGGACCGCGGAGTCCCTCCCAGACCAGAGCCAACACAACCCTCCCCAGAACCCCCGGTGCCCACCCACCCCGACTACCTCAACGCCCCGTTGGAGGCCCCCACAGTCCTCAGAGGCCGAGAGGCCAGTCTGTTTTGGCAACCCCAGCTTCAGCGGCCATGTATCTCAGGGGTCGGCAGGGCCAGGACCAAGGACAGATGCTGTGGGTTGCAGGTGACAGAGAATCACTCAAAGTGGCTGGAGCAGAATAGGGAACCCACAGTTCATCGGGGCAAAGCCATGGCAGAGCGGCCCCCCCTCATGGCTCTGGTCCCCCAAGCCCCCGCCGGGTCCGAGCCTCGCAGAACTTCCATCCCCGGCTTCAACACGAGTCAGGGCGCTGGCAGCACCAGCCCAAGGAGGCCGCTTGTCATGGTGAACCGCACTCTGCTGGAGAGACGGGCCGCAATGCCTGCCCTAGCGGGGGCCCGGGACCCCTCTGGGATTGAGTGGTCCCCCACCTCCTGCACTGCGGGCTGGCAAGCCCGGGGAGGTCTGGGGTGTGTGAGTAGGAGTACTGCACCAGCCCGGGCCCCGACAGCCAAGATTAGCTCGGTGTCCTGAGACACATGGGCTCCACCTACCCTGGGCTGGAAGTCCCCCTGGGGCCCCACTACCCCCCAAGCCAAGCCTGAGACTCGAACGCAGGATCCACGTGGGACTTCCCAGAACGAGAAAGCCGAGCTCACCACTGAGGCCACAGCAGGCCGGGTCCTACCAGGCTGTTGGGGGGGGGAGGGGGACACCTAGGAAGGAGGGGACACTGGCCCAGTCCTGAGATGCGCCGGCTGTGACAGCCCCGAGGGAAGGAGTCACACAACAGCCCGTCAGCTCCTCCAGGGTAAAGCTGCTCGAGGCCACCAGCCAGAAGGATCCAACAGCTCTCCCTGCCATCCTGAACCAAACCTGAGAGCAGGTGCGTGGCCTGCGTCGCAGCCACAGACCCATGAACCCCACAGCCCTCAGCAAGGCGGTCGCAGGGATGCTAAGCAGGCCTTGCACAGCAACCCCCACCTTCCCAAGCCCACCTGCCCACTTGGGGACACGGGAGGCCTGTGGCTCCCTCCCCATCCCCAGCCCCCCACGGCCCGGCGCACTGCTGGGGATGCCAGCACCACACCCGGACTTCACACAAGCACCAGGTCCTGGCTGTCTGGGGGCTCTGCACAGGGAGAGGCCAGGAGAGCCCCAGCTCCCTGACATGAACACCACTGGACAGAGGCCCTTGAGGGAGGCCCGGGTGTGGCCCCTGCTGGTTGTCTCTGCTCCTTCTCGGGCCCCAGTCCTTGAAATATCTGCAACGACTGCCTTGGAGGGCCCGACCCCACCTTCTCAGCAGCGCCATCCCCCCACTGGGGGCGCACCGGCTCTGGGCCCCGTCCCTGCCCCCCCAGACACAGAGGCGGGAGCAGGAAGTGAGCCAGGCTTGCCTATGGGCAGCCGCCGCAGCCAACGAGCCTGGAGCTGGCGAGCCCGCCAGTTGAGGGGGCAGACCTCCGGCCGAGGTGCCAGCCCGACAGGAACGGCCGCCTGCCTCAGGGAGAAGGACAGGGAGCCCCGTAGCCCCTCACTCCGCGGATCACAGATCGGTCCCTTGGAGCAGGGGGAGACACAGGACTGGTGGGGACAATTCCAGGGCAGGTGGCAGGGCTCCCAAGGAGCGCAAAGACCAAGAAACAGAGAACACACAGGATGGCCCAAACCAAAGAAAGTGGGGAGACCTACCCGTCCTGCTCAAGAACCCCTCCGAGCCAGCACCACCGCCAGAAACATCCCCCGAGGCGCTCCGAAGAATTACAAGGAGACCCAGGAAGGCCGCTCGTCCCCCAGGCCCGGACTTGGCTGTGCTGCTCGCAGCCAGAGGGAGCTGAGCCAAAAGGACCACATGTGCCTTAGTCTTCAAGGTCACATGGCCCAGAAAGGTCACAGCTTGGCACCAGCAGCTGCACCCATTAATCAGAAACCGTCAAATCACAAAGCCCTAGGTCTGGCCAAGGGGCTGAGACAGGAGCTATGCCCAGCAGGCCCAAGGGCAGGTGGCCGCTTGTCGCCTGCTCCTGCCATCCCAGCTGCTGGGGCACAGGCGGGCGGTTGTGGCCTCCCAGCTTCCAGAACAGCTGAGCCTGGTCTGACACCGGCCAGGGCTGTGCAGGAGCGGGGAGGAGGGCAGGACACAGGTTCCTGCTGGTAAGCGGCACCACACGCCCGTTCCACGACCCCCACCGGCACCCCCATCCCTGCACAGAGTCTGGCAGCTCAGCTGGCCCCCAGAGACCCCGACCTGTCCCATCCAGGACACGCCAGCACAGAGCCGCCGTCGATGGCCTGCGTCCCTAGCCTGAGGGCTGACTGCCAAGAAGTCCAGGGTATACCGAGCGCACCAGCACGTCCCCCCCGTGCAACCACCGACAGGGCAGAAGGGACAAGAGTCCGAGACCAGGCCAACAGTCTCTTTTCTTTTTATCTTTTTTTTTTTTTTTTTTTTTTTTTTTAATGGCTGCATTTCAAAGAACCACCATCTTTCCACTCACAAAACCTCCCAAGAGAGGGATGGATTAGTGCAACGAACTGGCGGGCTTGAAGGGACACAGAGCTTTCCAGGCATCTCGAGGATAAGAGCCCATCAGCCCAGGCTGGCCGCCGAGGCGGGGGGGGGCCTGTGGAGACCAGACAGCAGGAATGGACAGGGAGGATGAACACCCCATCTCCTCACCCTGTCCCGACCCCCCACCCGGAGCTGCGGGCCACCCTGTGCCCCACCCGGGAGCTAAGGCAACAGGGTGGCGGGAGCCGGGGGCGGGGCGCTGAGCCCGGGGCCAGGGCCAGCAGTGCCTGGGGCTCAGCAGGCCGGCGGCTCGCTGCTGTCCACCTGCAGCCCTTTGCTCAGGAGGAAGGCATCCTGCTTGGGGTCTCGGCCCAGGAAGAGCTTCAGCATGACGCCAGCGTCCTGGGAGCCGCCAGGCCGCAGGATGCAGCTTCTGTAGTCCATGCCGACCTGCTAGGGACATGCGAGGGGGCATCAGTCCTCAGGCGGCAGCCCTCGAGCACCTCCACTCCCACCACGAGTGGGCTCAGGGGTGCCTGTGTCAGCGTCAGAGAGAACATGCGTGCGCAAGCACACGTGTGTGTCCACACTGTGTGCACGCTATGCACGCAAACATGTGTGTGCGGGAACCCCGTCCACTCCCAACTCCTTGAGGCCCTTCACGTCACAGACTGAAGCCCTGGCCGAGCCGAGCTTCTGCGGTGACAGAACACAGGCCTGGAACGCCGGCTAAGCCCCCAGCCCCAGGAGGGTCCAGGGTGGTGAACCTCGGGGAGGAGGGAGGGCCCAGCTCCAGCACCTCGCAAAGACCGGCAGGTGCCTCAGCCCCCCTCCCCCGGTCCCACACAGCCGGGAGCAGGGCCGAAAGGTTCCCTGCTCCCTCTGCAGACAGGCCCCCTCCCACAGCAGGGCCGGCCTGCCCTCACCTTGCCGTTGAGGACGCCCTCCTGCTTGAACCGCGTGTGGAACATGTCCATGGAGTACACCTCGCTCCACAGGTAGCCGTAGTACTGGGCGTCATAGCCGCCTGCCAGGTGGCCGAAGGTTGCAGGCATGTTGGTCCCTGGGACAGACATGGTACAGCTCTCACCGCGGCCCGTCTATCCCCCAGCCCCCCTCAGGGCCCCTTGCCAGGAGAAGGGGGCCTCAAACCAGCCCCGTCAGAGATGACCCACACACACCCAGGAGGAGATGAACTGCCCCATTTGTAGAAAGCAGGAGCTTTCTAGAAACATAGCTTTGCCCGCTCTCTGCAGACACTTAAGAATTCGCACAGAAGACAGGGGCGCTGGGTGGCTCAGTGGGTTAAGCCTCTGCCTTCGGCTCAGGTCATGATCTCAGGGTCCTGGGAATGAGCCCCACATCCTGCTCAGCAGGGAGCCTGCTTCCCCCTCTCTCTCTCTCTGCCTGCCTCTCTGCCTACTTGTGATCTCTGTCAAATAAATAAATAAATCTTAAAAAATAAAATAAAATATATTTTAAAAAAAAGAAAAAGAATTCACACAGAAGATAAATCAAGACACGCCCGTGCAGCAGCGAGTACGCACTGCTGAGCTTTTTGAAAGAACTGTTAAAGTGCTCGTAGAATAAAACGGCGCCACACCACCCAAGCTGAAATCCCAATTATTCTCACACGTGCTAATGCAAGCGCGTACAGTGACGCACCAGGACAGACACCACAGCCTGACCTACTCTCCGACTGGGGCAATGAAATCCCCAGTCTTTGCAGCACTCCCAGGCCTGTTCCAGAGCAGGGCGTGGGAGGCACAGGGTGCGGGAGCTCAGCGGCTGGCGGGGAGGGAAGCAGAACCCAGCCGGAGCGCCGGGACCGACACGAGGAAGGACGGAGTGCTCACGCCCGCCACACGCTGGCAGGCCCAGGAACACAGAGCGAGGGGGCCAGAGGCCGTCTGCTTCCTCCCAGGCCTCAGCTGCCATCTATAAACGGGCCTGACTAGATCCTTGACTCCAGGAATAGCCACGACCCTGACCCCCTCCAGAACAGCGGGCCCACCGCACGGGCCGCTACCTGGCGTGGCTGGGACCCCGAGGACCTCCCGGCAGAGGCGGGCGTACTCCTCCGCGGGGTCTGCGGCTGTCTGGGTGTGCAGGGCCTGGTCCACCTTGGCCAGGACGATCTGGCGCAGGTTGAAGAGACCTGATGGGTGGAAGGAGACAGGGAGGCTGGCCCTGAGCTCCCACACAAGCAGCGGAGAACCCCGTGAAGGCAGGCACCAGGCTCCCCGCCTCCCCAGCCTCGGTGCCGAGGCCTCCCGGACGCCCCCGGGCCGAAGGGCGGCTCCCGCGGGCACCTGTGTTGGCCTGCCGGGACTTGATGAGCTTCTCCAGCAGCTCCTGGGGGATGGCGCTGCCAGTCTTGTAGTGCTGGGACATCCTGAGCAGCGGCTCCTTCTCCCACACCCAGTTCTCCAGCATCTGCGAAGGGGCCTCCACGAAGTCCCGCTCCACATGCGTCCCGCTAAACATGGCAAACTCCGCCTGTGGGGGCGGGCAGAGCTGCAGGGAGGGCTGGACCCTGCCAGGCCAGCTCCTAGCTGCCGGCCTTGCCCGGGCACACAGCACTCTCCGGACAGGCACAGCTGGGCTGGCAGACAGCAGGCCGCCCGAGGCCCTGACGCCTGGGGACGGAACAGGAGAGGCTCCCGGGGGAATAACAGCCATCCCGGCCCAGGACACATGGGGACAGGGAGCACGGCCACCCCTGGCTGGCCACCTATGTTCCCTTCGTCCATCCACAAAGCCAACATTCTCAAAAAGCCCTAGACCCTCCCGAAAAAAGTCCTAAACCCCAAAAGGCACGGGCCTGCAGGTGATGCATCTGCATAGCAGCGTCGGAGGCACAGTGTGCTGACTCTGCTTTCACGCAGGAAATTTCCCTCAAGTCCCACTAGAATCCGCTCTGGCGGCCACTAGGCCAAGGGAGCAGCCCGACCTTGGGCAAGTCCCTTCAGGGCCCAGAGGGAGGCAGGGGAACTGGGAGAGCGGACGCATTGGGCCTCGTTACCCACAGACCCTATTTGTGACTCTTCCTAGTTGCTACAAACCAACACCTGCGGCCCTTCGTGGTCTTTTAACCCTCTGCCGCTGGGCTTCAGCTCTGGCTGTAACTGGGTCTTTCCATGCTCTGCTGACAGCTTCCCCCCCATTTCTGTTTTTTCGGTAGGTGATTGGGCTGTTTAAATGGATCCCAACAGGGCCACCTGGGGGACTCCAACAGTGAAGCATCCGCCTTTGGCGCAGGTCATGATCTCAGAGTCCTGGGACGGAGCCCCGCGTCGGTAGGGAGCCTGCTTCTCCCCGCTCTGTCCCCACTCATGTGTGCGCTGTCTCTCAAGTAAACAAGATCTTCAGAAATAAGTAAAAAAAACGGACCCCCGCTGCCACGCTGAAGTGCCATCCGGCTTTCCCGAGAACAAGGCGGCCGGGACGTGCAGACACAGCAGTCAGACGCATGAGCTACGGCGCGGAGGGCTGGGAGTTCAGTGCAATGAGCCAGCAGTACGTATCAGACACACGACACGGGGACCTAACCCTGTGCTCCCGCAGGAGCCCTGCTTCAAGATCCGCAAATTCTGTGCTCGCAGCCACTTCACAGAACTGCGAATACTGGGGCGCCTGGGTGGCTCAGCGGGTGAAGCCGCTGCCTTCAGCTCGGGTCATGATCTCGGGGTCCTGGGATCGAGCCCTGCATCGGGCTCTCTGCTCCATGGGGAGCCTGCTTCCCCCCCCCCACCGCCTGCCTCTCTGCCTGCTTGTGATCTCTCTCTGTCAAATAAATAAAGTCTTTTTTAAAAATAAAAATAAATAAAAGAGCTGCGAATACTGAGACTGTGTATCTGGAAAGGCCTGAAGGAAACGAGGGAGCCATGGGAGTCACTGCAGAAGGGGGACAAGCCCGTGAGCCTCCAGCGCCGGGCAGGGAGAGCCGAGGGGAGCACGAACGGGAGCCGGCAGCCGGGGCACACGGCCTGCAGGGCTGCACAGCCACGGTCCCGCCCCGAGGAGCCACTGGTCACCGAGCACCAACCCTCACCCCGCAGACTACAGCCGGCGCGGCAGACGAGGGACAAAGGGGAAGAGCTGAAGCCGTAACTTCCCGAAAATCAGGAGAACGTGACCCTTCAACAAGACACACAGGCAGGTGCACTGCACACGAAGGTCAAAACCCTCTGCTCAAAACGCGCTTCTCAGCGCATCCCCGGTGTGGGCCCAGGTCTCGGCCCCCGGCAGGAGCGAGGCCTCCACACGCCGCCCCACGGACGGACCCCGAGGCCACGACGTGCAGGGAGGGAACCAGACACAGGAGGCCACACGGGGTAGGAGTCCACATGTGCGACACCCCAGGCCAGGCCCCTCCACGGATGGGAAGGGGTCTCGTGGGGGCCAGGGGGGGCGTGGGGACAACTAAGAGGTTTGAGGCTCTTTCTAGTCAGAGACGCTCCACAACGCTGGGACAGCAGTGACGGCTGCGTAACTGGGTGAACTAATCATCGCTGAAACATCCAACTTAAAAGGCGCTCCCTGGCGCGGCCCTAACCCGACGGCCAGCGTCCTCATGAGAGGAGAGGGGGACACAGACGCACCGAGGGACAACCACGTGAGGACGTGAGGAGACCGCGGCTGCACACCGAGAACGGCCTCGGAAGGACCTGGTGCAGCCGACGCCATGACCGCGGAACCCCCTCCCACCCCCAGCCCCCCGGGGACGCACTTCCATCCACCAGCCAGCCGTCCGCAGGGCTCAGCGATGGTAGCTGGCACAAGACAGCACCACCGTGGCCGTGGTGACCCGGGCAGTGTGCTCCGTGCAGCATGAAGGCCGCCTCTAGACGCAGCCGCCAGCACCGCCCGCCCCGACGCGCCGGTGCCCACCTGAGAGCAGAGCTGGTGCATCACGTGCCCGAACTCGTGGAAGTAGGTCTCCACCTCATCGTGCTGCAGCAGCGAGGGCGCGTCCGGGGTGGGCTTGGTGAAGTTGGCCACCATGGCCGCGATGGCGATCTGGCGGGTCCCGTCGTGCCGCAGGCAGCCTGGCTGCAAGCCGAAGCAGGCCGCGTGCCCGTACTTCCCCTCCCTGGGGACGGACGCAGGGTTGGGCCCGGCGGGGGTCCACTCTACGCGCTGCCCGGCCCAGAGGGCTCCCGACCCCAAGAGAGTCCTGGACTCCGCCAGCCCGATTCCCCTTCGACCATTGGGCAGCCAAGGCGGCTGGCCACACGGAGTGGCTCAAACCTGCTTCTCGGGAGCAAGTGCCCGGGAGCCGGGGGCCTGCCCCACACTCATCTGACCCCCTCGGCCGGAACCTCCCAGGCACCGTCCTCCCCAGAGAGCGAGCACTGCCAGCCCCTCGCCTGACTCTGCGCTGTGGCAGCCCCACCATCCGTTTCACAGACGGGGACGCTAGGCTCAGAGGCCCGCCGCCCAGCGCGCACGCACCTTGGGTAGAGATCGAGGTAGAACTTGCCGATGAGCCTCCCGGAGGCCGAGTCCCGCACGGAGTACAGCTTCACATCTTCGTGCCACACCGCGGCGCTCTCCTCCGGGTGGAAGCTGAGGCCCAGCAGCTCCTGGTAGATGCCGAGCAAGCCCTCGGTGACCACGTGCATGGGGAAGTACTCCTTGAGCAGGTTCTGGTCCACGCTGTAGCGCGTCTCCTCCACCTGGTTCATGTAGTAGCGCATGTCCCAGGCGTTGATGCGCCCGTCGAAGTCCAGGCCCCGCCTCTCGCACTCGGCCTTCTTCAGCTCCAGGATCACGGCCCGCTCCTGCTCCCCGAGGGGCTTCAGCTTCTGGGCCAGCTCATCTGGGGAGGGCAGAAGGGAAGGCTAGGCCCCCCCCCCAGCGGCCTCGCAGCCTCGGGCCCCAGCACCCCGCCTGGAAGGCCTGGCTGCGGGAACGGCCCAGACCGACATCGACATCGCCCCGCGGCAGCTGGGGATGGGGGCGGGGAGAGGGTGGGGGATGCCGGGGCACGAGACACCTCAGCTCAGTCCCCTACCCCCGGGCAGGAAAGGACAGCGACACTGGGGACACCTGCCCAGAGCTCACACCAGGAGGCAGAAGAGCGGGGGCGGATGCAGGCTTACCCCAGAAGCCTACCCTCAGCCATCCGGTTCGAGCCCCTGGAGGCTGAACCGGGGTCAGGGAGGTGTCAGGACCCCCCCGCTGTAGGGTGGACACAATGGGGCTCTAAGCCTCGTCACACGCAGCCAAGAACACCCCAAGCCGCACTCCGGGAGCGCGCGGCGGGAGGCTGGGGGCGGCAGGGTTACCTAGGAAAGTGGCCACCGCCCAGCTGCTCTTGGCCATGTTCATCTCCAGGACGTAGTCGGCGTGTGTGCTGAAGCCCAGCAGGCTGGACTTCTGGGCCCGGAGGGTCACCAGCTCTCTGAGGATGGCACAGTTCTCCTGGAAGCGACCAACGACCGGTCTGTGGGCGCCCGGCCCACCCCCTCCCACTCGAGTCCCGCGGCCAGCACGGCTCTGGAACGCCACACCCAGCCGGCTGTGGCTCACTTCCCTCCCCCTTCCCATGGCCTAAGTGGCTGGGACTGCCCTGGGTCTGCCCGTAACACACACGTCTCCGTAAGCCCTCGGGTTCCTTTTGGAACCAGAAAGGGTGTAACTGGGAGGGGTTCGAGGGCTGTGAGTGGAGAGCGACATGGGCCATGTGAGCCTCGGGGGCACCGTGCGCGGGGCGCTCACCCCTGTCTGCGGGAGACACTGAGCAGAAGTGAGGCCACACCACGGCGTGGACACGCACACAAGCGTCTGTGTGAACGGAAGTCTGTGCGCTGAAGACGAGCCCCCGGCCGCAGTTCGAGGGCCCAGGCCGCCACGCAAGTCACAGAAAAGGGGAGGGCGTGTCTCCAGAGCCCACCCAAGGCCGGCAACGCCACTGGGGGGAGGGTGACCAAAGCTATGGTGTGGGAGCAGCGGACGGTCACACAGACACGGGACTGGGTTGGGGAAGGGATCAGACCCTGAGCTGTGGCCTGGGCCCAGAGCCAGACCCGACATGGACGTCTCGGAGGGGCAGGCTGAGCTCGCCCGGGGCTTGCCCACCCCCGAGCCCGGCGGGCACTGCGCAGACAGGGCAGGCCCCGTGACCTCTAGGCACCACCTTCCCACCTGCTTGCAGCGACAGTTGAAGGCCTCCTCCACCTTCCTCCTGGTCTCGGGCACATGGCATTTCTTCAGGAGAGGAAAATAATGTGGGTACTTGAGGGTGACTTTCAACTTGTCATCCCCAATCTTCTCCAGAGAGTTCAAAAAGTCCTCCGGCAGGCCTCCTACGGGAATAGGAAACCAGCGCTGCCACGGGCCCGGGCGGTTGGGGCGGGGTGGTGGGCTTCCCTCCACTCGAGGAGTTAGGGCTGGGAGCCTGCAGGAAACAGGACGCAAGGCCCGGCCTCCCCAACCTGCCCTGGGCCCCTCCGGGAGACGGAGAGCTGTGGCCCTTCCCACCAGGGCTCCCAGGGAGGAAAAGCTCCCCGTGGCTCAACCCCTGACACGGGGCTTCCAGGAACTGCCATCCCTCGCCTCATCCCTCCTCCAACAGCAGCATCGGGAGAGGACATGTGCCGCCCTCGGCCTCGGGATGGCCGCACTTCTGCCACGGCCCCCACCTGGCGCCCGGCCCCTGAACCATCCCCCAGAGGCAGATCGGAGTGCATCACTGCAGACGGAAAGCCTCCAGGGGCCACCGGCTCCCACCTGGCCCACAGCTCCTTCCAAGGGCAGCTCGCCCGGGGCCCTCCCCTCAGTCCAGCGGGGAAGGGGCGCCATGCGGCAGGGTGGGCAGTGCTTCCAGGCCCGCTGCGCAAGAGCACATGCATGTGTGTGCATGTGCACACAGACACCCATTTCCTGACTCTGCGACAGGGCCTGGGAACAAGCCCGCAGTGGCCCCGGCACGCCCGGCACCCACACCACCGTTTCTCAAGAGCAGACGGGCCTGGAACCCAAGTCCCAGAGAGGCGCTCGCAGAGTAACAGGGACGCTTCATGCTGCAGAGGCCCAAGGTAGAAGTGGGATGAGCTGAGCACCCAAACAGGGACAGCAGCAGCCCACACCCCCCCCGGGGTAACGGCCTCCGTCCACACCGATGCCACAGATAAACCCACTCCTGGTGGGGGGAGGCGGTTCTGACCCAAGAGACCCACACACGAACGCATGAGGAATGACAAGGTCAGAAAAGCGGTGGCGGGAGCCTCACCCAGCGGGGACAGTGAGGAACCACAGCCCAGGGCCTCCCGGGGAGCCGCTGACGGGGGAGCAGCCGTACCTCCAGGGAGGCCCCAGGCAGAGAAGCCCCCTCCCCAAGCACCTGAACCTCGGGGTGGGGGGAGGAGGGGAGAGAGAGACCCGCTGTCCGAGGCTGTAAGCAGACACCACCTCTCCCTCCGGCAAGCAGAGGAAAATCCACCCGCGCCACACGCTTGCAGAGCACGACCCGCGGGCGGGCCGGCCAGGCCACCCTGGCGGCGGTCACCGCCCCGCCCTCCGAGGCCAGGCTGAGACGGCGAGGCCCCTCGGGCCAGACAAATGGGCGGAAGAGCCGGCCCACGCGAGGAGGTGGGCGAGCAAACTCGTCTGCCGAGCTCGAGACCTGGGACCCTCCTCTGGCCAGGACACCTGGCCACCTGTCCTTACACGGGAGCCACATGGGGAGACTTGCCACCCAAGGCCCGGGCAGGGAAGGGAATGAAACAGAACAAAGGACAGCAGAGCGCACACCCCGCTCAGGAATACCCGCCACTGCGGGCCCCCCAGCAAGCAAGCTGCCCTTGGGGGCCTCCGGGGGAGGGGGGGCTGGCAGCGAGGCCCGGCACGGCCACCCGCCAGGCAGCCGCAAGGTCACGGCCACGACGCCCCAGCGCCTGACATGGGACTGGCAGGGCTCACACAGGCAGCAGCGCGACCGCTGGCCTGAGCTTCTCGGAAGTGTCCACATCAGGGGAGGTGACGCTTCCGTGAGTGGCCAAGGAGCGGATCGTCAGGACAGGAGCCCAAAGTCAGCATGACTCCATGTGACGGGGGCTCCGGGAGCGGACCCGACAAGGGAGAGGAGCACAGACAGTGTCCTCGACGGCGCAGCAGGGGCCGTGGGCCGTCTTCCCTCTGACGCGGCTGCTCGGCACCCGGCCCCCTCCCGGCGCGAGGCGTGCCCCTGGGGAAGGCCCCCAGGCCCACGGAGGACTCTCCCGCCGCGGGAAGAACACACGCGTGGCACCGTCCTTGCGAGGGACAGAAAGCGCCCCATCAGCGGGGCGAGGAGAGCCGAGGACACGGGGCTTCCTACAGTATGAAGTTTTTCCCAACAAAACAGTTGGGCCAAGCGAAGAAAAGAGTAAAAATCGGAAGAGACGTCTCGGCCCCAATCTTCGGGAATTCCCGCCTCAGCCGGGTTCGGGAACAACGATCGCCCGGACTCAGTCGATCCGATCTTCTCACGAGACTGAAACAGGACCAGCAGCAGGCAGGGGAGCAGGTCCCAAAGGGAAAACCCGGCCCGCTCAGCCGCCTAACCCAGCACCCCCGGTACTGCTCGAGGAAGGGTCCAGAAACGCAGAGTCCAAAGCACTGACTGCTCCAAGGGAAGAAACCCCCCGGCCCAGGGCGGTGGGACACAGATGTCCCCGCACTGCGGAAGCCTGCGGGTGGTGGCCACAGCCCGGGAGGGTCCTGAGACCTCGAGTCAGCCCCCCGCCCACCCTGCGCCCCCACCAGTACCCAGCTCCTCGCGCGTGAGTGGCAGGAAGGTCGTGTCCTCGTTCAGGTTCTTGTTGAAGTCGATGCACAGAAGACTCAGCTTCTTCTTGATGCTCTTGATTTTCTGTGGGGAGGAGCACAGCTGTGAGCCGGCGCTGCCGCGGGGCCCCACCAGCGGAGGAGACAGGCGAGGCGGGAAGAGGGGATGGGGAAGACACAGACGTCGGGTCCCAACACCAGTCGGCACGGTGCCGACAGCAGACAGTGGCCTCCACGCTGAGTGGCCCTGGCGACCCCGGGGACCTCAGGCTAGCGTCCCCATCTGTGACACATCCCCCGCCAAGAGCGCTCTGGACCCTGCCGCCTTCCAAGTCCACAGCCGAGGCTTTCAGACATCCTGACAGAGCAGCAGGGCTAGGCCTCAACACGGGAACTACTGATGGGGCCCCCAGGTCAGCCCGCCGTCCCCTCCAGGGGGGCCTAGAGCAGAGCCCACCCCTCGGCGTGACAATAGCTGCTCTGCGCCAGCAGGGGACAGGCAGGGGCAGGTTTGCAGGGAACATGGGACTCCTCGGGTAAGACCCTGGCCGGAATCAGCCCACACAGGCAGACTGGGCCTTGCCGGCCACAACCCTGCACCAGGCACTGCCGCTCACTGCCCCTCCCCCCCCGCCACGGCAGCCGTGCCAGTTACAGCTCTGAGACGCGGCAGGGAGACAGCATGTGCCCTCCGGGGTCCCCACCCAGCCGGCTGCCCCGGCTCCACGCCAGGCTCCCTGTGTCCCATTCAGCACGGGGGCTCTCAAGTCACCGTCCGTGCAGCCCACCGCCCGCCTGTGCACACACGCCAGACTTTCAACAACCCTGAAAAGGCCGGAGCTGCAGGAACCATGGGGCCCCCGGCCGGCTCAGGGCAGCACCTGACTCTGGGTCGGGGTCGCAAGTTCAAGCCCTGAGTTAGGTGTGGCGTCTGCTTTATACAAACGAAAACGACAGCTGTGCTTCTGCCGCTCTGGCGGCCTGTGGCACCCACAGCCACTGGAGTGGGTGCAGCACCGGGCTCTGGGCCTGACTCCTGCCGTGGAATCGGACTCAAGTCCCACTGGCCCTGGTTTTTGTGTTTTTGCTTTTAAGGTTCTTAATTCTTACAGGGGCACCTGGGTGGCTCAGGTGTCTGACTCCTGGTTTCGATACAGGTCGTGATCTCAAGGTCCGGGGATCGAGCCCCACATCAGGTTCCCCGCTCAGCAGGGGGTCTGCTTGAGATTCTCTTCCTGCACCGCCCTGCCTTACACGCATGCAAACTCTCTGCCCCAACAATATATAGTAATTAAAAAAAAAAAACCCTTGTTAAAAAGATTTCCATTTTTATATAATCTCTACACCCAAGGTGGGGCTCGATCCCACGACCCCAAGACCAGGAGTCGCACACCACACCACACACATCAGCAGGAGCCCCTCACTGCCGTTGGTTTTAACATCACACGCGCCTCATCTCTCAGAGTCCTGGTTTCTGCAACCACAAGGCAGATGTGCTGGCCTAATCAGAAAACCGTCCTTCTAAGTGACAAGGGGGATGGTCACTGAGCTCTGGGTGCAGACCTAGTGTCGGCATTAGCTGCATCTTCCACTTCTTGCGTCCTGTGCTTTTCCACCCGGGGGGGCTCACTGACTCTGAGAATTGTCCTCTCCGAGGGGTGGACACCCGAAGGGCACCTCGTGTGTGCAAACCAGCCAGCCCAGAGCCCGCGGCCCAGCCGTCTCCCTCATGCGCTGCCCAGCGCCCGGAGAAAATGGGGAGGGAGTGGGGCACACGACGATCCTCCGTGATTAACTGCCAGACAGGGGCAGGCACGGCCCCGCTCGCCCGCTGATGTAGGCCAGCGTGCAGGAGACGCCCTCTGTGAGGCCGGGCTTATGACAGGCAACGTTGTCGCTTCTGGCACGCAGCTCCTGAAAGCCTTGGAATTTCTCCTGTGGTAACAAGACACTATAATAAACTGCCCAAGCAACAGGAGTGCGGACCACTGTGTTTCTTATCCCCAGCCCCCTCCGACAGCACTCGGGGCATGTTAACAAGACTACTCTAGAACGCCCTCAAGGAGGGCCCCTGCGGACGGAGCGGTGAGGCGCCTCCTGCCTGCGCTGGGCGGGGAGGTCCCCCGCTTGCAGAGTCCGGCAGTCACCGACAGTGTCATCAGTCACGCCCATGCAACGAGGCCCCCACAGAACTCCTGAAGGACAGGCTTCCGGCAGGGCTCACAGGGAGGGCAGAGCTCCGTGCCTCTCCCCCGACCTTGCTGTGCCACGTTGGACCCTTTACGTAAGTAACAGTGAGCGAGCGTTTCCTGGGTCACGTGAGCTGCTCTAGCAAACGACGTGAAGGCGGGGAAGACGCGGCGGGCACCGCTGAACCACACGGTGGTCGTTCAGAAGTAGACAGAACAGCCTGGATTTGGGACCGCAGTGTCATGTCGGCGCCGTCTCGAGGGGCCAAGCCCTGAGGCTGTGGGACCGGACACAACCGCCAGGTAGGCGGTGTCTGATGCAGGCTGCCCGCGGGACACCCAGGCGCTGTCGCAGGGAGCCACCTGTGGCATCAGGGAAGCCACGCTGCCGCGGCAGAGCTCGGAGAACAGGAGGCCCCGCCGGCGTGAGCTCCCCCCGGTGCCATGGTGCCCGGGCCACGGAGAGAAGCAGGGGAGCTGTGCCCCCTGCACTGCGCCCACTCTCCATGGCCGAGGGAGTGCCACGCGCTCGGGAAAGCCACACCGTGACCCGGGAGAGCCGGAGCAGGATGGGTGCAGAGGCAGAGCTGCTCCACAGACCCCTCCCAGAACTCAGGCAGCAGAGGGGCCCAGTCCGAGGCGGGCCCGGAGGCCGCGCGCCGCCGGGCCCCGGCCACCCCCGCGGCTGGCCCTCACCTGCTGAGTGTCCTCGGGCAGGTGCAGCCCGTTTCTCCTGCCCAGCTTGACCAGTCGCTCCAGGTACCGCCTGGCCTCTGGCCTCAGCGAGTCCTCCTGCACTTTCTCCTAGAGCAAGACAACCACAGTCGCGTGTGCGACGGAACGCGGGCGTACGGCCGGGGGTCGGTGGGGGCGGCAGACCGGGGCGCTCGCGCGAACCTCCTCGCATAACGCGAGATGGTGTGGCCGCCGGGAACAGCAGCTACGACCACCACCCGACTGGGCAAGGGCTCTCCCGGGCGTCCGTCCCGGAGACACGAAGACTCATGGCCACACGAAACCTGCCCACGAGCGCCTGCTTCCTGGGAACAGCCCATACGCACACCGGCCCAGAGCGTCTCCCACGGGTGACTGGTCGGATGTGAATGGGAGCAGAGGGCGACCTCCAGGCCGCCACCCTGGCTGTGACGGTGACCGGTTTTGCAAAGCATTATGCTGGGGAAACCAGGCCAAGCACAGGCAGGCTCCGAGTTCTCTCTCACGACCACACGTACATCTGCGAAGGTCTCGACGTTACGACTCAACACAGAATCTTGCTTGCACGTCCACGGCCGCCCACCCGGGCCTGTGCCCGAGCCCGCCGGGCTGCTCTCCTGACCGAGGGGACAAGGGCACTAAGGGAACGGATGGAGGAGCGCCTGTGCACCCCCACGGCTCACCCCGACACCAGCCCCGTGGAGCAGCCGGCGGGGTCAGGACGATGGAAGCACGTGGTGCGTGCAGGAAAGGCCTACAATGTCCTAGGCGCTCTAGGCTCTACTGTTTGTGTTCCTCTGCCTTTGTCTGTGTCATTCTCTCATGTTTCTTTACTGCAGTAAAAGACGATACAAAACCTACCGCCTCAGCCATTCTTAAATGCACGGTTCAGCGGCCCGAAGCGCGTTTCCACTGTCACGCAGGGACCCCCACCCGCCACCCCCGGAGCCCCTCACTCTCCACCTCCTGAAGCCTGAGGAACACCACAATCAGGTCTGCAGAGGCTCCGACCCAGCACTGCCCATCCGGATGCCGGTCCGCGCCCCGCTGTCTCCCCAGCACGTGCCGGTTGCCTCGCCGCAGCCTCACCTGCAGCCAGACAACCCTCTGGTACACGTCGCGCCTCATGCTCATCTCCACGTCGAACTCGGACAGCCTCTTGTCCGCCTCCGTGCTGGCCATCCGGATGTCCTTCGAGGGAGACACGTGCTGCGGGAAGTCCAGGATATTCCTCTGAACTGAAACAGGGAGAGAACGGGACGGGCGTGAAGACGGGCCCCGGCAGAAACCGGCCAGCACTGACCTCGGACCCACCAGGCACGCGGCTCAGGCACGTCCACCAATCTGTTCAGCGAAACGCCCTCCACACCAGGCCCCAGGCTGGGAGCCGAAGGGAAGAAAGGGGCAAGGGGCACGGTCATCCACGTCCTCAGGGATCTCACAGTCCGAGGGAAAGACCCAGCTCCCGAACTCCAAGGGAAGGGCCGTAACAGAGAAGTGTGACAGGATCCAGAAGAGCCACAGCCACTGACAGCGACATTCTAAACTCATGAGCAACTTTCTAACTGACAGAGCACGTCTGCGTCTCGTTAAATAGAGAAAGCGGGGGCGGTCGTGAGAGCGTGAGCTTTAACCGTCACCGCCTGACCCGGCAACACACTGCTAGGTGCCTACACGCCATCACACGAAAATCACACACACTCACAGCAGGACCGGGAATAACGGTGGACGCGACCCAAATGTCCGCTGACAGGGGGGCGGACAAACGCAACGCGGGCCCCATGCACAGGAGCGTCCCACGGCCGCCAGCAGGAGCGAGGCGCCCCCTGCGCAGCCCTGGGGACGGACCCCGAGCCCACGACACTCAGGGAAGGAACCAGACACAGAAATCCACTCAGGGTGTGAGTCCACACGTGTGACACACTCAGACGAGGCTCTTCCACGGATGGGAAGGGATCTAATGGGGGCCGGAGGCTGGGGAGGGGGTAGATGACAGCTGACGGGGGCAGGATCTCACTTTGAGGTCATGGAATGTTCTAGAATTAGAACTTGGTGATGGCTGGACAACTCTGACTACAAAAACCCTTGAAATGTATGCTTTCAACAAATTCTATGACATATAAAATCAGATCCCAACTGAGCACTTGGTTCTTAAAGGCATACACTCTTGCACTGAAAAGACCTGTGTTCAAATCACAGCTCGGTCGCTCCCGTGGCCCCAGGGCAGACCTGCTGCCTGTGGCCTGAGAGGACAGTGAAAAGGATAGAAACAGCACCTTTCCCTCTGGGATTCACAGGCTCACAAGCGCACGTGACTGTACCCAGTGTGACAACAGAACGGTGTACTGTGGGATCAAAGCAAGCAGCCAGCGTGAGCACAGGGGGCGCAGGAAGGGGCTCTGTGATCACAGAGGAGCCCAACATCGGCAAAGCAGCAGGTGCATGAAGCCGCGAGACGGGCACGTGTGAGCGCACACAAGCAGCCACGCGGCCGGGCACACGCGAACTCCAGGAGCTGAGTCGCACCAAAAGCAACATCAAGGACCCTGGCCTTGATCCGGAGGGCAGCGGGACACCGAGCAGCTGGCCGAGGGGAATGCCGTGATTCAATTCTAGCTCCCTTTACAATTCCTTGGGGGAGTGGGCGCCTGGGGGGCTCAGTCAATGAAGCGTCTGCCTCCGGCTCAGGGGATGATCCCGGGGTCCTGGGATCGAGTCCCCAGCAGGCTCCCTGCTCAGCAGGGAGTCTGCTTCTCCCTCTGCCCTCGTCTGTCACACGCACATGCACAAGTGTACCCTCTCTCCCTCTCTCTCAAATAAATAAAAGCTTTAAAAATAAAATTCCTGGGGCGCCTGGGTGGCTCAGTGGGTTGAAGCCTCTGCCTTCGGCTCGGGTCATGATCCCAGGGTCCTGGGATCGAGCCCCGCATTGGGCTCTCTGCTCAGCAGGAAGCGTGCTTCCTCCTCTCTCTCTGCCTGCCTCTCTGCCTACTTGTGATCTCTCTCTGTCAAATAAATAAATAAAATCTTAAAAAAAAAAAAAAAAAAAAAAATTCCTTGGGCTACTGCGGGGAGACAGAAAGAAAGGCTGTGGAAGCGAAGCTGGTGTCCAGCAGGGGTGCGGCCAACAGGCAGGAATCAGCATCGCGCATTTGCCGAGAGCCTCTCCGGAAAGGCGCACCACCTGAAGGCAGCACGGAACCCCACGGCGCCCGGCCAGCAGCACGGGGAGGCTCCGGGAGAAGCCCCCAGCAGAGACGCTCAAAGGTTCCCTGAAGAAGGACTTCTGCTAGAGACCCAGGGGCAAGGATTCCTCAGCTCGGCGTTCTCTGCTTTAAGACCGTCTCGGCCTTTTGTCCCCACACCGTCAACCTTCACAGCAGGACCCGGGGAAGCAGTGCCGCATGGATCTCACTGAGCGCCTCAGCTCTCACAAGGGGGCCAACATCCCAAGGAGGACAGAATCTGGACCCAGTCTCGTGGTGATGAGAACACCTGCTGGCATCAGGTTTCCCAAAGCGGAGGGGGAAGAAGAAAAGCGAAGGGGGCCAAGTTGAGTCGCTCGGAGAGAAAGCCAGTATCTCCCCGGACACAGAAAGGAGCAAGGAGTGGCTCTGGTTTTGAGGCTGACACATGAGCCAGCTCCTGGCACGTGAGCTGTCAGCCACGCTGTCCTGCTCTGGCCCCTTGGATGACGTAGCCCAGGACAGCCACATACGCCAGGCAGTGCAGCAGGGCATGCAGGGGAACCAGTGCCCCCGGGCTGCCTCTTGCCCAGCAGATGCCTTTAGCGCCCCCCCACCACCGTCAGCTCCTCCAACCACGACCACCCCCCTGGGGACGAGGAGGCCTCGCTCATGGCCAGGGTCCAGGAGCTCCAAGGCCTGAGGTGCTTCGGCCCCCCTGCCCGGATCCTGACCCGGATTACCTGTGTAGGACACCTCCACGTCAGCCAGCGCCTTGAGGGTACTCTCGTAGGACACGTCTTCAAACTTCTGCGAGCCCACCTGGTCATACACGCGCTTAGTTTGCTCGATGAGCTCCACGGTGAGCTCCCCTATTTGCTGGGCACTCAGGTCCCATCTTAGGTAGTTCTCCACAGAGCACGGGGTTGCTGTGTCCAGGGCGCCTCCTGCACAGGCTGGACAGAGAAGACAGCCCCACACTGAACGTGTCTGCTTCAAGGGCGGAATTAGGGTTCGACTAAGTAGGGGCTGGAGGACAAGGGCAGGAGCATGGTTTCCCCATGCAAGGGCTTTGTGGGGGCGCACAGAGTGACCGGTCCCTTAAAGCAGAAGCTCTTGCATTCCAGGAGACACAAACTCGGCTGTGATCTCTGAAGATGCTTATGCTTGTTGCAACTGCAGAGCGATGCTATGCATCGAGCGGGGGGTGGACGGGGATTCTGCTCAACACCCCCTCGGCTCCAAGACACCCCACGATGGCCCAGCCCCAACATCGGCAGGGCGGGGTGGATACACGGTAGACACCTTCCTCTGAGTTAACTCGTTTGATCACGGGGGGCTACCCCCGACATCCCCTGACGTAACGTGACGTTTATACCATGTTACTTTCCTCAAACAAGGGAAATTACTGATTACTAAAACACCCCTGGCCCCAAGGGTTTTTGGACGAGAGACTGTGGTCTGTGAAAACAACAGTCCCTTAAACTGCTGTGCAGTGTTCAGGGTAAAGATGTTTTACTTTCACTGCCTCACGGATGCGCAGTTCTGGGTCCTCTGTGGCCCCTGCCGTACAGATGGAGGTCCTGAGATTTGGAGAATTCAAATCTCATACCGTGACCCCACACCAGCAAGTGGCAAAGGTGGGATTCATACCTGTGCACTCTGACCTGGGCTTCAACCCTGTGAACCAGCGGAGCGTGTGCACCCCCACCTCTGCACGAATGCAGCTGTCAGAGCTTCCTGCCCCGTTTCCAGGGCCCCACACGCTTCAACCCTTACTGGAAGTCTATACCAGGGGTTGGCAGAAGACGACCTGTTTTTGTACAGCTCACAGGGTCAAAATGCTGTTGCAGGAGACCGAGTGTGTGACCTGCCAAGCCTAAACTAGCGAGCCCTCTACCGCCCCTGGTCTACACCACGCAGACTCTACTGGGTCCTGCACGGCGGGTCTGGCCAGCTGCCCTGTGCCTAAACACACCCTCTTTCTTCAAGGAATCTCCCAGGCCTTCCCACAGGCTAACCCCTCTACCCTGAGCCCCAACCCATGGAATCTTCTGTTCCGTGTTCCTTTCTCAGATACCCCAATGGCATCCCTGCAGCACCTGGGCGTCTCACAGGACCACAGCTGCCCTGAATCACTTAAACTAAGGAACACAGGCTTGTGTGACCTCCCCCAGCAGAGTATGGAATGCAGAGCAAGCAGAAGCTGCTCCAGGAAACACCCACTTGAGCCCCGTTTCCCCTCTGGCACCGTAGGGAGTTGAGCAGGGCCCCAGTGGTCCTGAAACCCCTGCCTTTTTGTGAACGCGGAAGAGGGACAGGATCTCTGCAGGGCCCTGCCGGCTGGGACAGGCGCTTGGCGTCTCTAGGGCAGGGTTTCTTAATGACATTATCCACATCTGTGGCTGGGTCACTGTCTGGGGTGGGGGTCCGCCCTGGGCACTGTAGGGTACTGAACAGCACCCCTGGTGCCCACCCACTCCATGTCAGGAGCACCCGCAGTCGTCCCCACACACTGCCTAGTGGGCCCTGGCGTGGCGCAATCACGCGGGCTGAGGACCCCCGACATACACCAAGTGGGAAAAAGAAGGGCGCTTGAGCCAGGACAGGCCGGACGTTCTGGCGAACGGACTGCCGCGAGGTCAGGGAGAAAGGACGTGGGTCTGTGTTACACATGGTGGTAAACAAGGGTTCCAAAAGCGGACAAGACAGGAGACGCGGTAAGCGGAGAGCGGCCCGCAAAATCTCCGGGAGGAGCCGGGACCTGAAAGACTGGAGCAGACCCATTATCCGCGGTGTTTCCGCTGCCGCCTCCGCGCAGGGTCCCAGGCTAACAACCTGCCTCAAACAAGACAGGCCAGATTCCCGCCCTCCTGAGGCCCAAGTAACCCTAATTACGATCCTCTTTAATGCAATCAGCACGACGGTCGGCTGGAGAAAGAACGGGGGGGGGGGGGTCAGCAAGAGAAAACTCAGGGGGCACCACACAGCGACCCGGGCCACTTTTTGAACACAGGACATCCAGTCGCTCCCGTAACGAAAACCCTTTCACGACGCCCCCGGCCCCTAAAATAAAAGGGACTCCCAGGTGCGTTCTGTCTCCCCGCCTTTGCCCTCGCAACTCCCGCCGCCCGCGCTCGGGTCACGGCACACCCTGCTTCTACCCCCGGGGTCCGGGCTGACTCGGGCCGCCTCCTCCGAGAAGCCCCTCGGGGCCGCCCTCTCGGGAGAAGCGCCGTCAGCCCACCCCCGACCCCCGGTGCTGGAACGGCTCCGGCTCCGAACGCCGCCTGGAACGCACGGTGTCCCCCGGAGTCCCCCGGCGTCCGCCCTCGGGGCCCCACGCGCGCTCGGCTGAAGCCGCGCACACGGAGCGGCCGAACGATGAAGCGCTGGAAAAGCGGGTTCATTCATTCGGCCGCCGAGGGGCCGGGGTCCCGGGGTCGCCGACCCATTCCCCCCACCCAGGTCCCCGCCCCTCGTGGGCCACCGGGCTCGGCTCCTAGGCCCGAGTCCCCGGGAGGCGCGAGGGTGCAGGGGACGCCCGGGGCCGCTGAGCGGGGCCGCTCCGAGGGGCAGCCGGTACCTGCCGGGGGCTTCATGGCGGGCGGGTGTGCACCGGCGGCCCCTCCCTCCACCTGGTCCACTTCGCGCTGCCTCAGCTGCCGTCGCCACCCGCCTCCGCCCGCTCCGGGTCCGCAGCAGCGGGGACCGAGGCGCCCTCCGCCCGCGCGCCCGCTGAATGCTGGGAGGGCGCGTGCGCCTAAGGAGAGGACGCATGCGCGCCCCAGCTCCACCCACACCCCGAGGCGGTGCTTTGGCAGCCTGACGCATTTTAAGCCGCGCTGGATCCCTCCCTGGCGCTGATTGGTTCTGGCGGCGAGAGGGCGGAACCTTCGAGGGCCGTTTCCATGGAAACCACACACAGCTGGCGCCCAGAAGCCGGGGTGCTTGCGGTTCTTTCTGCCCAGACTTTTGTGCCAGGGCTTCTAGGTCCCGTATTCGTTTGTGCTCGCCCCCTTTCTACTGCTATAACTGTGTATTTGGCTAGTTGTGCAGATTTTCTCCCGCACCTGAGTTAGTGGCCAGATTCGGGCGCTTTTTGTAGATTATCCCAACGATCATCCTGCCCAGTTTCTGGCTTTGAACGAGTAGAGGCGGGACACATACATCAGCAGAATCCGGTGAATGCCCTAAATTAAAGGCAGTTTTTTAAAAAGTCGAGAAAGCTTCAGTAAATGAATCCAGGACTTCAAACAACAGGTGTTTTGAAACGGTGCCGTATCCTAATCTATAACTATTGTCGTCTATTAAAACAAAATCTTGAACTAAGGCGTCCTTTCTTCCAGGTAGGAAAATTTCCTAGAGCTAAAGTGGCCAAAAACCCCACTCCCCTATTTCTTTTTTTTTTTTTTTTTTTTAAAGATTTTATTTATTTATTTGACAGAGAGCGATCACAAGTAGGCAGAGAGGCAGGCAGAGAGAGTGAGAGGGAAGCAGGCTCCCCACTGAGCAGAGAGCCCGATGCGGGACTCGATCCCAGGACCCTGAGATCATGACCCGAGCCGAAGGCAGCGGCTCAACCCACTGAGCCACCCAGGCGCCCCCCACTCCCCTATTTCTGCAAAAGAAATTAAAGAACTCCGGGCTTCAAATATGCCCGTGTTTTGGGGCGCCTGGATGGTTCAGTGGGTTAAAGTCTCTGCCTTCAGCTCAGGTCATGATCTCAGGGTCCTGGGATGGAGCCCCACATCAGGCTCCCTGCTCTGCAGGGAGCCTGCTTCCCCCACCCCGTCTGCCTGCCTCTCCGCCTACTTGTGATCTCTGTCAAATAAATAAATAAATTTTTTTTAAAATATGCCTGTTTTTTTTTTAAGATTTTATTTATTTGTCAGAGAGAGGGAGAGCGAGAAAGCGAGCAAGGCAGGCAGAGGGAGAAGCAGCCTCCCTGCTGAGCAAGGAGCCCGATGTGGGACTTGATCCCAGGACGCTGGGATCATAACCTGAGCTGAAGGCAGCTGCTTAACCAATTGAGCCACCCAGGCGTCCCTATGCCTGCGTTTTAAATAGGATAAAAGGGGGCCCTTCAGTGGCTCAGTCCTTAAGCATCTTCCTTCAGCTCAGGTCATGATCCCGGGGTCCTGGAATCAAGCCCCACAGCAGGCTCCCTGCTCAGCGAGGAGTCGGTTTCCCCCTCTCCTACTCCCCCTGCTTGTTTCCTCTCTCGCTGTGTCTCTCTCTCTCAAATAAATAAACAAAATCTTAAAAAAATAAATAGGAGAAAAGTGAATTAGGAGAACACTACTTGCAACTTTAACACTAACGGTGACCAGTTGTGGGTCTTCAATTTCGCCGTTTTCCGTTCCCGGAGTTTGTTCCTCATCCTCCAAATCCATCTCTACCAGGTAGATCTTCCCTAACCATCCCGGCCCTCTTGCCTCCCCAGTCATAATCCGGGCACGCCATTTTGTCTTTATAGCGCTCGCCATCCAGTGGAAAGGGTTAGTTTACGTCCCCGTGTACTAGTTTGCAGCTCGTCAACGCCCGTACAAAGGAACGGGAGCAAACACTCCCCTGGTTTTTACAGTTGGTTTGCAATACGTATTTGTTGGCTACTAGGCACCTGTTGTAAACAAAGATGTTCCCTTACGTCCCATGCGTTGAATGACTGAGAGAATGCGTTTGTGGGACGACGGGTGGGTGAGCAAGTGTTAAAGATTGTGGGAAGCACTCTCTCCCCTGCACACAGCGCCGGCGCGGCTCCAGGCGCCAACTACCCAAACACCGCAACACCACGTGGCCAGCTAGGTGCCACGTGACCGGCCCTGCCGACCGCTCCGGAGTCCGCCACCGTCCCACCATGCACCGCTCCGTTCCCGCCCGAGAGGGGAACTCTGTCCTGACTTCCGGCCTCCATTCGGTCGCAGAGGTCAGTTGCCCTAACGACCAGCTCGCCCCCACCTCTAAGTTACGTCACTTCTCCCCACGCCCGCCTCGATCACTAACGCGCCTGCGCAGGAGAAAACACAACGGGAGCCGGCTCCTTCCGCGCAGGCGTCGCGGCCGGGGGCGGGGCCGGGCAGCGCCGCGGTGCGCAGGCGCAGCCGTCGGTGGGTCGGCGTTCGGCAGCCTGAGAGGTGAGTCGTGGGGGTCCCGGCGCTGAGTGGGGTGGGCCGGGGGTCCGCGGCTCGGAACTCCCGGGGCTCCAGGGCCCGTAAAGACAGGTTGGTCTGGGGCGAGGATCCCGCGATCCACTGGCTGCTGTGAGTGGGCGGCGCGAAGGGGAAACTGAGGCAGGGTGGCGTCGGGCAGGCCTTCGCCGGCCCTGGTCATCCTACCCCGGACCCCAGGCCCGGGAGATGCTGGTCGCAGGCCCGTGGGTGGACAGCAGGAGTCGAAGTGCCCCGCTAGCAGTGAGGGTGTCTTCTGCTTCCCGGAAACACAGTCCCTTTGAATGGGGACCCCGTTCGTGGGGCGCGCGGGTCGGGGTCCTTTCCCAGCGCCGCCACTCTCCACCTGGCCAGCCTCTTGGCTCCCCGGAGCCTCAGTTTCCCCCGCAGTAAAATGGGCGTCATCACGGTCCCTACCTAATTGGTTGGGGTGGGGGGTGAGGGGTGAGGGGTGGCGGTCTTGGGAAGATGAAAGCCCCAGGGACCAGCGCAGAGTGAGAGCTTGGTGGGGTGAGCGGTGGTTCCGCCTTTCCCAGCCCGGGGCTTCTGTCGGTTGTGCTGGCGGCGGGAAGGAGTTGGGGCGAGGACCGGCTGCACCCCTCTCCTGGCTGCGTGAGCTGGGGCTCATCGCTTCCCTCTCTGAGAAGCGCATTTCTTCTGCAGCAGGGACCCCAGAAGAACGTGCTTCCTAGGCTCTCTGCGAGGTTAATAAGCAGGTCATGCTCTGCTTGGGTTCCTGCTGCTTGTTAAGAGTTTGCTGGAGAATGGCTGGTTGATTAGGTGCCAGAAAATGTGTGCAGTCCTTAGGCCAGAAGATGTCCCGGTTCCCTTTGGTTTTCTGTGTCTGATTGGGCTGTCTGCTTTTCCTCTTCCCAGACCAGTGGTTTTGTTGCCCTGGGGGACGCAGGGCAATATCTGGGGGTCATTTGTTGTTGCCACGACTGGGTGTGCTCCTGGCAGCAAGTGCGTGGGGCGCAGGGAAGCCGCCTAACACCCCGGGGTGCCCCGGACTTCCCACGGAGAACCGTCCCGGTGTCTACAGCGGGGAGTTAAACCTTCCCCCGGACCATTGCTTCTCCACCAGCATGAGCGGCACACAGGGGGGTGGGGTATGAACTCACGAGATCACGTGAAGGTTTTGCCGGGAGAGGAAAGGGCGCTTCGGAATTTAGGCTCTGGAATCCGACTGCTGGGCTCAAAGTTCCTAGTTTGGGTCTTCTAAGCTGGATGACCTCAGGTAGCCCCCCATCTTTCAGAGCCTCAGTTTTTCCTTCTGTATAATGGGGATTGGTGCAAACAACCCAGGGGCTTGGCTGACTGTGAGCAGGCCCAATCCAGCTGCAGCCTGTTTCTGTGAAGTGGGGGGCGGGGCAGTCGGTCCCAAAACTTGTGACAGCTTTTGCCGAAGAACAAAGGTGTGTGGTTTCCACAGAAGCCCTGTGGCCCTTTTCAGAAAGTGATCGCGGACCCCTTCCATATGCCATTGCGAGGGCTGCGCTGAGCACGGGGCCGGGAAAGTGCTCAGCACGCCAATGGTTTCACCTAAGTTTCACCGACAGTCTTTGAGGACGGGTGAGCGACTGTCAGTGGGGTTGCCTCCACCCCAGACTGCGAGATTACATTGTCTCACTTACTTTGTCCCTTTTTTTTTTTTTTTTTTTTGCCAAGACCCAGCACTGGCCTCTGTGGGCGACGCTCAGCCAGGGGGTTGTAGGAATGAAGGCCGTCGTCGGTGGGCAGGCAAGGCCCAGGGTTTGTCGTCTCCTCTGGGCTCCCCGGGGAACTTGGTCAGGGGCTCTGGGTTTGACAGGGATCTCACCGTTTCCCAGGACCGTACGGATCAGAACACTGCTGAGTGCGGTGTTGAAAGCAAAGATGTCTGTCCAGTGCTCCCAGTCTGGGTGAGGCCGGCGGTCGGACGACAGACGGGTTTAAAGCCGTCTGGGCCAGTGATAAGGCTGGTGCTTGGACTTTGCTGGAAAAAAGAGGGCGTCTAGCTCTGGATAACTTTGCAGCTCGGTGTTGTAGGGAATCAAGAGTTTCCAGGTGGGCTGGAGGAACAGTGAGCGGCTGGGTTTGAGTAGAGACACTGAGGGTTTGGTGAAGGGATTCCCATGCGCACCCATGAAGTTTCAGGAGCTTTCGATGGTCTTCAAGGATGCAGGACGTTCTGGTGGCGTTTTAGAAGACAGCAGGCTGTGGTGAGGGTGGTGGTCTCAAGCCTGGGGACAGCCCTTGCTCGGACACCGCGGGTGTGCTGGGACAGGAGAGGGCACTGGGGCACTGGCTTCGCACGCTGCTGTTTGTGGGCCGAGCTCTGGGTGCGGCTGGAGGCAGGCAGCCCTCGGCAGTGGGCGCTCCACCGTCCAGGGCGGAAAAACACACGTTTTTTTTTTTCCCCTTGACCAGTTCTGGGCAGGGAAATAAGTAGA